ATATATATATATACATACATACATATAATTATACATACACAACATATATTCATAATTGTGTAATATTTATATTAGCCATTTTTATTCACGTTAAGTGGATTCTTATAGCATTCATTTTGTCAAGATATGCTGAAACAGTCAACAACAACCCTGAATTTGTCCAACTTAAAGCTCAATAATAGTTTGTTTACAGTTTGAAATAGCCGCCATCAGATCGCCAGTCAAAACACTGATAAGCTAAAACGTCACCTTGACATTATCATGCAGCACTATTGCCAACAACACAAATGTTGCATCAGTTTGAACAGTAAAGCCTCAAGAAAGACTTTGGCTGAAATGGTCTGGTTTTGTAATCAAGTGGTTTTAACCGTCTGAACGCATTCGGTTACTTCACACACCTTCCAACTGCTTAGACATTACAACTGAAATCTTGTCTCCAGTGAGACATTTATGCAACAGAATCATCAAATATAAAATTTGAAGCACTAACACCTCAAAGACAGACCCCAGGCTTTAGAAAATGTCAAACGGAGTGGTTTTATTTATATTTATTTTAGCTTTGTACATTTCTGTATGACATACATTTAATACACCTACATTTAAAATGACTAAAATGAACGAGGCACAACCAAATATGATTTCATCATATTTTTCAAATTCAAAACGAGCACATTTTGAACCACATGGTTTTCGGCGTAAGCGAACTCAGCAAAAAAAAAAAAACACGTTGCCTGACATCTCGTATCAAAACGGGAGGGAAAACAAAAATAAATAAAAGTTGGAGTGTAAAGAAGTCCCTTTAGGGCTAAATATTGGCACAAAGACTGATATCCAAATTAGAAAAAAAAAGTGTATATATTTAATCATAAACCACTATAAGCTACACACTGCTAGACATCCGCCTTCACAGTAGCACCAGTATACATAGGACAATTTAATCCCACGTACACGATAAAAGCAAAACCTTTCAATTTCAATTCAACTTGGCTTCAGACTCGACGTGTCCACTAGAACCGTTATGTGCATATATTGAAGTGCAATTGTTGCTAACTTTGTTTCACTTGTGCACAACCAGAATAAAACAAACATGTACCATAATATTACATAAAAATAAAATAAAATACAAGGAAAACTAAAGCTTTTGTAACAAATGGCACATGTTACTCAATCTGATAATTGTCAGGATGAAAAAAAAAAAAAAAAAAGACAAAATGCAGACATCGTCATGATTACATGAGCAGGATTCACATGTTATTCAGCTCCAATAGAGTCTGTTCCAACATCTGGTTCATATCGAGGGTTTCTTCTTTAGCATGTGAGAGTTTCTCTGTTAGAACATCAAGTGAAAGACATGTTAATATCAATGCAAAGCATGTAGGCAATAACATGCAGTGGATGCCTTGAGCATAGTCCTGTAACATACATACTTCACACACTCGGTTCATGCTTTCATAGAAATATCCATAGCAGAGATACATTATATATACACATAGTGATATACAGGTGTTAATATATAAATGTATAACGGACACAGTTAAAGAGTGCTGACTCTTGCATACAGCAAAAGGCATTAGATGACATCCTGATTTAAGTGGTAGCCATCCATTATCCAAATGCTGCCTTCAAGTCCTTCTGGGACGAGTTCGGAAGTTGCAATTTAATGATTTTGGTTTGCAATAAAACGCATTGATCAATTTCTCTTTCACTGAATAACAACGCTAGGATGTTTATTCTCTTTTTCTTTCCACGACATAATTCGGAATAAAGAATAGAATTTATACAATGCATATTAATAATTTAAAAAAAAAAATTTTTCAAAATATATTATTATTATTATTATTATTAAATATAAAGTGTGAACAAAGTCAGGAAGGGTTATCCTTGACAATTAAAACCCCTTAACTGTCACCGTCCCACCTGTGGGACGTTTGGCGCTCTTTTTTTGTTGTATTTTTTCTCTATCAAATCTTTTAGTAATCATCATAAATCATATATCATTTGAAAGATTAGAAGCCCAAGATTTAATATATTTAAATATCTAAATATATTAAATTTATAATATATTGTTTAAATATTTAATATTTGCTGTATATTAAATTTTACATGTAATACTATAGTTTAAATATTTTAATTAATATTAAATTGTGTATGTGTGTATTATAAATACACACTATGTAATAATTTTATATTTTAAATACAAGGATGGCTTTGGATTTTTTTCTTGAACAGTTTTTTTGAACAGCAAAGAGAAAAACAATGTAATAAATAAATTAAGTATTTAAAATTAATGTATAATTTAAAATTGGTTTAAATATTAATTTAAAAAAAAACAATAGTGCACAAAATGCAACATACCAACAATTTGTTATTTTGTGGTAAATCTCAACTTGTAATCATGATCTTTCCAACATGACTTGAAGGCAGCAAGAGAGTAACTGTTACAAAAACACGTTCCTTGAACCTTCATTCACAACAGCATTCATTTTAGACACCATTTGGTGATAAGAAACAAAAAATAAAGTCCACTATATTAGTCCTCATTCAAGGCCATTCTTAGCTCGTTAGAGAGAAGGCGGTTTTTCTCGAGTTGCTGGTAGAGATGGTCTACAGGAGCAGAAAGAGAGAGAAAGAAACAGAAAGAACAGAGTGAAGAAGAAATGAGAAGAGCTGGAGGTTAGTAGCATTTCATGGTTTACTCAGACTCAAACCAACCTGGAGGAGGTGAATCTGATGGGATTAGACAGCAGGACACAGAGCTGTTTGGAAGAGCTCATATATACTCACTAGCAGAGCTCAACAATAAGAACGGCCCAGTGCAACAGCAGTCATACAGTGAGTGTGTGCGGCTGATGGACATAGACGAAGTTGTTGCAAAATTGTGAAAATTACTTGTGACGGTCTTGGAAATGTTGAACAAATCATTAATTTCAGGAAGTAAATCACCGTATGCAATCATTTTCAGTTACATTATACCCATATTACACAATTTCAGCTATTAGAAAAAATATTGCGCTTAACAAAATTTAATGTAAATTAAAAATATACCCACAAATTAAAAGCCTAATAAAATTAAGTATATTTTATTCAAGAGTAACTGCTCGAAATGTAATATATATATACACATTTTTTATTTATTTATTGGGGATGGCAAGATTCACCAATTTGCATCGGTTCATCAGCATAAAAGTTAGCAATGCAATACACTGATCTAAAAAAAAAAAAAAAATTGTGCATTGGATACAAGTTGATCGCGATGCATCGAATCTAACATATTTGTATCAGTAAAAAACTGATCTAAAAAAAAAAAAATTGTGCATTGGATACAAGTTGGCATTTGTATCGCGATGCATCGAATCTAACATATTTGTATCAGTAAAAACTGATTTATTTATATATAATTATTAGTAGATGCACTATACTTTTATTATTTAGAAAGTGACCAATAATTTGTGACCAATATTTTATATGTAGCGCGTTCTCTCATCACCTCTGCTGTTACGTGAATATGACGCATCACAACACTACAGAGACCGAGGCGTGTCCTGAGAGTCACACAGAATATAGATTATCATGGCAGTGGTAGAGCTGCATCTTCCACCAAATAATTATAATGAACCAAAGAAATAAAAGCAAATTATCTATACCATATTGAATTGCATGGCATCATACTTTTTTCCACTGCATCGTAATAGGGGTGAATCGTATTGCACTGGTAGTTACTTCATATGTATCTTTAATGTATCGTATCATTGGCTATGCATATATATATATATATATATATAAACACACACACACAGTATATTCATGCCACAAAGAAAGTAGAAGGGAAAAAACCTTATTGTAGATCCCTAACTAGGATGGGATGACATTCACCGTATTTAAATTTGAATTCTCATGCCTTCGTAAAATATGTAAACAGCAGATTGGGAGCTTAGAGCTGACTTTGAGAAAACAAAAGCAGTCACCCGAAGTGAAAACGTCTATTTTCACTAGTGACAACACATGCATTTGACGATAAAATGCATAAAACACTTAAAAAATAAAACCATAAATAAAATAAATAAAAATAACTCAAATTTATATATACATTTTACAACTTTAAAAATGTAACATTTTTTTTAACTGTAAAATTATGAAATATGAAAGATATCTATTGCAACACTGCTGTCCTTCAGTAAGAAGTGGGGAATGTTTTAAAACACCCTTATAGCAACAATTGACCCAGATTAGGTATAATAATAATAGGGTGTTATTACATAATATAGAAATATAACTTTTAGATTTTCTGAAGAAACGGTTGCTAGGGTGCTCCGAATATTAGACATAATATTCCCAAATGGCTCAGATCTGCTCTCTTAATGCAAGTCTATGAGATCTCTCCTCAACACGCAGCACAATTTGATGTATGATTCATTTTCAGTGGCGTTTAATACTTATATTTTGGTTTTGGGGTTTGTTTAAAACCACAACCCTAAGTATTGGTGATGCTAGCTTGTGAAGCCTCTCCATTCGCAAATTGAGAGAATAGGTTTATCGGCACAGGTGAATTTAGGCAGAGGTGGATACTTTTTTTGTTGAACATTTACTACTAGTGCAGTAACAAACACAGCTTATAAACGACAGGTAATCATGCGGTTTAATGAACAGACGTTAGAACAGAATTGACCGTCATCTACTTCCATGAGAAAACCTGATTAAAAAGCCACAGATATTTGAATAGTAGGAGAGAAGGAATTTGCCTAACATGTAAATATGGGGAAACCAACGTGCAGCGCTTTAGGAACTTTCCCCACATGAAAATATCACCTTTATTAAGAACCAAGAGCTCACGTTCTCCTTGCTATAACGTCTCATATATTAACCATAGAAGAAACCCATGACTTCTACCAGTGCTTCTGACTTTATTAGAGCCACAGCAATAAAAGCACATAGAACTGAAAAGAAAATAAAGAACAAAAAGGACAAAAATGAGATGTTTACATAGTTTTACATAAGGCCAAAATAATTAAAGGTTCTGTACAAGAATAGATGGATAACAAAACACAATGTAGAGGGATGAGAGGAAAAGAAAGGCTGGAAAGAGCAGAGTGAAGTCATTCAGCCGGCGGGACGCGTCTTTGATGAACAATTTATCTGCGCAGGGAGGAAAAGTAAGAAAAAAAGGTGATGGAAGGGACAGAGAAAGCCATCAAACACAAGAAGAGGGAAGAAACCACCACATACAGGAGCCACGATGCTTATTTATTCTAGAGTCTCCATTAATCTCTGATATCAGAAACATATTCGGCTAACGCTATATCCTTGATAAATGCTGAATGGCCATAGAGGGGAGCCAAACAACTTCACGGCTGACTTACCAAGCAGCTCACGCTCCTAAACAACTACTACATATGACACGACAGATACGATCAGAAAGCATCTCTACACAGCAGGCTGTGGGCCTGTCTTCTGAACAGAAGACGACCTTGTTAGTAGATCAATTTTACACCAAAGGAGAGGAAAACACCACACACAGGAAGTCACTGAGCATGAAACGCTTCCCACTGTAAAAACGTGGAGCATTTCTGACTATACATCACTTGCTTTGGGGTTAAGACTTCACAGTACTGCCAGTAGGGCTGGGTCATATAGTCCATCTTTAGAAAGCTCTCTATATTATTGTGTTATACAATTACTTGTTTAACTTTCATAAAGATAGTTAAATGACTTTGAGATTAGATGGATTTCTTAAGTCAGAATAGCAGCAATATCAGGAAATTCAGTTCGCTTTCATGAATCATTTTTCAGTGAATCGGTTTAAACCGACTTTGATTCAGTGATGACTTTTTTCCCACAGAAATCCCGGTGTCAAAATGTTTTCGTTAAAAATATGCCCTACCTTTTCAAATGTTTGGGGTTGGTAAGATTTCACTGTTTTTGAAAGACGCATGTACACCAAGAAAAATTGTGAAATATTACTACAATTTAAAATAACAGTTGCTCTATTTGAATATATTTTAAAATGTAATTTATTCCTGTGATGCAAAGCTGAATTTTCAGCATCATTGCTCCAGTCTTCAGTGTCACATGATCCTTCAGAAATCATGCTAATATGCTGACTTGGTGATGAAGAAACATTTCTTAATGTTGCAAACAGTTTTTGCCGCTTAATATTTTTGTAAAAAAAAAAAAAAAATTTATTTACAAATCTTTTAATATGTTCCTTTAAATGTTTCAAAAGAACAGTAATAGTAAACAATTTAATGCATCCTTGCTGAAGACTAGTAATATTTTCTATCATTTCTAATCTAATAATTAATAATATACATTTTCATATATTTATTAATTTATATTATTTTTAATTTTAGCATCTTTACTGAACTCAAACTTCATTTATTTAGCATTTAGTGGAAAAAATATTTCATTTTTTATACTTTTTTTTTAAACGTTTTCTCAAACATTTCAATATTTTAATTTAATATATATTTAAAAATTTTTATTTAATATTTTTTTTACAAATTTTTATTTTACATTTATATAACAAAATATAAATAAACTTAAAGCTGTATCACCCAGCCTTAGTAGCAAAAATGTAACCAAAGTTTTGAGTTAGAAGTTTTGTTTTCTCACAAGATTATTTAAAAAAGTAATGCAATAGTTATGAACTCAAATCACAAAACTCCTATACACTGACTCTACAAGCCATGGCCTTAACATTAACACATGGATGGATTTGCAATAAGCAAAATACTTCAAATACCTCAAATAACAGTACAGGAACCATAAGTCTTGAAGAGTTACAGAGATAGAGTTTTAAAAAGAATGAAGATACAAGACCTTATTTAGAGCGGGTGAGAGGGGAATTATGGGTAATGGGGGAGGGGCACAGGCAGAGACCGCAGATGAATTACATTGAAGTCATGTCGTTGAGAGCGTGGTCCAGCTCCTCGCTGATGGCTTTGTACTTGAGTTTCTGGGAATACAACTCATCTATCGGGATTCAGGACGGTGTGTTTGATGGAGGGGAGACAGAGAAGGGTGGAGAGGAAGAGGTGGAGGGAAGGGATAAAAACAGGTGCAGGAGTGAAGCATCCAATCCAGTGGCAAGACAGGCCCCGGTGAACAGAGTGACAGACAGCGAGAGGTGGAGGGAAAACAGAAAATAAAGTTAAGGAGGAATGGAAAGGAACTGAAACACAAGGCAAAGACCATGACACATTCGTCAGAGCCACCGTGAAATACCAAACTGGGTCGCTCGCAGGTCACTTACTGAACAAGATGTTAAATGAAATCTGTCATCATTTATTCACCCTCAAAACCGGCATGACTTTCATTCTTCAGTGGAAAACTATTTCATTTCTGCAAAACGCCCAGAACACTCTTTTCAAGCCTGTTGTAGCTCTTAAATCTCATTCAATTCAGATATGGCTTGTCTAGATGTTATTCCAGGTGTCACTGGTTTCCGTGTTTCTTGTTATTGATATCAAACCTCCATGTCGAGAATATTTTGCATACTTTTTTATAGTGCACAAGTCATACACTGCTTTTACAGTATGTTTTACAGTATGTCAAAGGTTGTGTTAGCACATGCCAATAATATAAAATAAATTCATTACGGTTTAAAAATTTGGGGTCGGTAAGATTTTTATGTTTTTGAAAAAAGTGTCTTATGCTCAGTCACCAAGGCTGCATTTATTTGATCAAAAATACAGAAAACATTTAAAATATTACTACAATTTAAAATAACTAAAACTGTTTTCTATTTGAATATTAAATTCAATTAAATAGAATTTTAAAACGTAATTTATTCCTGTGATGGCAAAGCTGAATTTTCAACATCATTACTACAGTCTTCAGTGTCACATGATCCTTCAGAAATTATAATAATTTGCTGATTTGCTGCTCAAGAAACATTTCTTATCAATGCTGAAAACAGTTGTGCTGCTTATTTTTGTGGATACCATGATTCACTTTTTTTTCAGGATTCTTTAATGAATACAAAGTTTATTTAAAGGGTATTTATGTAAAACAGAAATCTAATGTAACATTATAAATATCTGAACTATAACTTTTGATCAAGTTAATGCGTCCTCTCTGAACAATTTTTTTTTGTGTAAAAAAAAAAAAAAAATGAACAGTTTTTTTTGAACAGTTGTGTAAATATTCTTTCATGGTGATTTTATTGTCATTTTGGGACTCATTATCAGCTCCTATTATGGGAAAAGTGGGAAAGAAGCCCTCTGGGAATTCATATGTGAACTTTGTTCATGTTCCACAGAAGTAAATGAAATCAAACAGGTTCGACATGAAGGCGAATAAATAACAGTTTTCATTTTTGGATAAACTATCCCTGTTAAGGTTCTTACTGATGCCTCATTGACCAGGATGTTGAATTATCACAGATACATTAAAGTGCAAACACGGCAGTACAGTTATGAAAATTAACTTGAGCTTGTGTAAATCCAAATGAGCAGGACAGGAGAAGACTATTTAACAGCAGCTCATAAAAGCCTAATCGAGTTTAAATGCTGCGTGTAATTACACCTCAATAACACGGGTGTCATCTTATAAAACAATGTGAAGTCTGTGTGTGGATCTGCACAATGACTGGTCTCTTCGCAAGAAGTAATGCTTAACTGTGCGACTGAACGATAAGAAAGCTGAAAGAAGGCCAGTAGGGCGGAAGGTTTGAGGAACAGAATGACAGTAGAGAATTAAAAGGTTGAAGGCTTTATGACCTGAAGCTCTGAATACTTCACAATCACACGCATGAATAAAAATGGGACAGGGACTGAAATTACATGAATGAATGAAAATTAAAGTCGTACCTTCAAGGTCATCAATGGTCTTCTCAAGCTTGGCGACTGACCTCTCAGCGAACTCGGCACGGGTCTCGGCCTGCAGCAGAAAAAAAAGTCAGTCATTTCTAGCTAATAAATGATTTAAATGCCCAGAACATTTACGTTTTTTTTTTTTAATCATATAAATAATTATTATATGTGATGTATACACCATGATGGTAATCTAAAACTATTTATATAGTCAAGTAAGACTTGATATACTAGCCTCCCCTGGACAGAAGGATGACTAAATATCATGTGATAAAGATGTTCATACCTCCTTCAGTTTGTCAGTGAGGACCTTGATCTCCTCCTCATATTTGTCTTCTTTCTGTGAGTACTGCAGACATCAACACAAACCAGCACACATGAGCACTTAGCACTACATTAGCCCTCCGCTCAATAACACACTTAGGCTGTTTGTTACGGCACATAAACCTGATTTTTCTTACCAAGTCTGATCTCTAGGACTGACCACCTTTTGTAAATGACAACATTATCATGGACAGTGTAGTCAATATTCAATTATATCTACTTCGGTTGCCATAGCAGTGACTTAAGTACCAGCAAGAAGTTTAAGAGTAGTTGTAACTGTAGAAATTTCACATACACACACACAAAATTGATATTACCTTTATTTTGATTATTGATAACTACTGAGAGTCATGTTCAAGTCAAAAATCACAGTTACCAGTCAGTGTCCACTGTCAATCTGAAAATTAAATGTATGTTTAGACTGTGTAGATATGTATAGGTAGATGCCACATTCAACTGCATCAGACACGATGACGTGTCCGCTATCTTGGAATGTTATCTTGCTCAATGTGTCATCACTCACAGTAAAAATCAATGGGTTTTCCAAGATGCCACTACATTGTGCAGCCTCGGGTTGTAAAAACCACTGACATGTAAATTATCAAAGAAATGTGACAACTTTTCACAGATGAGAATGTGTTTGTTTTTAATATGTACTAGGGCTGTAAAAACGATTAATCGCTATTAATCGTATCCAAAATAAAAGTTTGTTTACGTAATGTGTATGTACTGTGTACATATATATATATATATATATATATATATACACACACATACATGTATACATTTAAGAAATACTTATATATATATATATATATATGTGTGTTTGTATGATGTATGTATATATAAATATATAAATATATTTATAAATACACAGTACACAGACATATTCCACAAAACTAATTTTTAGTCTGGATGTGATTAATCGATTTGACAGCCCTAGTATTAAAGGGGTCCTATTATGATTTTTCACTTTTTCAACTTTAGTTAGTCTGTAATGTTGCTGTTTGAGCATAAAAAAGATATACAAAGTTACTAAGCGCAAAGTCCACTTCAAAAGGTGATATTTTATTTAACAGAAATCACTTTTCAAAAACTACAGAGAACGACTCGTTTGGACTACAACGCATATTTTCCGGGATTTGTGATATCACAAAGATCGACGAATGGGACGAGACCTGGTTGAGCTGCACTAGAGAAGGCAACGAGTGTTATCACTATGTCGGAGACACGCTAGCTTTCCCAAGGCAGACGAACTTAGAGTGCTTACAATCATCCGGGTTTAAATCGTGCTCAAATTGATTTGATTT